TATACCAATTGTTGGACTATGCTTGATTTTGTCAGGTTTGGTAATGTTCAATGCAAGTCATCCTACACTGCATAGACCCATCCATACCATATCACTCAAACTCCAACGGACTCATTCTGTTGGAGTTTATCAGGTTTGGTACACTAACCTGCATGTACAAGTACATAGACAAGTACATGAACCTGTTGGATTTTGTGAGGTTCAGTATGCTTTCTAGTGCAGGAGCCTAGGGGATTAGGGTTAAGCTTCAATCCTGAGCAAATGGTAAAAAAAAAGAAATTTTATTTAGCACTGCACCAAACATGCCAGTGAAATTTTGACCAGCTGACTGAAAACATCACATCCACAGTGCCAACCTGTGTGTAGGAACTGGAATATGGCTAGGGCCAGCTGGGGGGAGACCTTGGCACGAATGACGTCATCCTGCTGGGCAAAGATGGAGTAATCACGACGCTTGGGATTGTTGATCTTCTTCTTGGACACGTTGTCGGCTGGAATTGGAGTAAACAAGAAAGGTGCGCTAACAAATAAATGACCCCCAACGCCAAAGCCTAAACTAATCAACATCATAAAAGTTCCAATAGGAAAATGGAACACTGGAAAATTTGGAAAATGGAATGCTCAATGGATCACCAAGGGAGACTTGTTTTACTTCACCAGAGGATAAAGCAGTCAATATTTTTTCAATACCTCTCCCACTGATTCTGCTTGATTTAAGTGATAATTGATTAAGTTGATTTCATTCCACATAAAATACACATATCTGAATATCTGTATCTGTAGCATATTTACCAGCACTCTTCCCGAGCACCTTTTCACAGAATGTTAGAACCCAGCTCTGTAGCACTAGGGCTTTGGAATGTGCCTGAGACACAACGCGCACACAACGCCAATCATTAAGCGTGTACATGTACATGTAGTTCTTTGGTTGCTACGGGAATAGTGTTTTGGTTGCAATGAATAAGTTGTTTTGGCCATGCACAAGTTAGCTAAAATAGAAGCATAGAGAGTCTGTGGGTGAGGTGTTACAATTGTGTTTGTAACACCTCACCTGCAGCTCCTGAATCTTTATTACATGTGTTTGGCCAAGAGCTATATATCTATTGGTCATCTCTTGAATCAAGCAGGATCTGTGAAAGAGGTGTTATGTCACAGTGTAACAAAACAAAGTTCTAAGACACCACAGGAAACAGTCAGCAGCTGCAACCTACAACGGGTTGTCCAATGGTATGTGTGTATTTACATGTACACAAATGCATTGGAACAGGGAATTAAAACAACAAAACAAGCACGATGCATCATGAGAGAGAATCACTTTTCCAGTGAAAACTTAAAAACTTCATGACTATAACTTCTACTTACTGTAGATGTCAGTCTCATCCACAATTTCAGTCTTCAAGATTTCCTCAATGACATCCTCAAGGGTCACAAGTCCCAAGACTTCATAGAAGGGATCGCCTTCCCCTTCATTGTTGACCCGGTTGACAATGGCCATGTGAGAGGAACCTGTTTGAACAATCACATATCTTTAATTTCTCCAAATTAAACGAGAAAGAGAATAAAATTCACAGCATGTTGTTGCCTTGCTCTCGTACTTTCTCAGATGTAAAAAAGTCGATCTCATTAATGAGAGCTTTGTTAACATTCTCCTTAAAACAAGGGACTCCTTTAGGTCCCAAAACTTTGTTCTTCATTGTTTTCATTTTTGATAAAGATAATTCCAGAAATTAGGGGTCCAAAAGTGTGACATTTTTGTGTCCCTGTTACATCTGACCTTTGTTATTTGACATGGAAATATCACCGGAATTGATTTCGAACTATTACTATTTGTTTGGAAGGTAATTTGAATTAATTCATCACTCTTAGAAATTAGAAAGTGTTCTGAACTTACAATATCCTATGTCAGATGTAATAGAGACACAAAAAAGGCCCCCAAATTTCTAGAATCACCCATAAAGTTGTCCTGTTGTAACAAGGTAATCTGCAATGTCTGAATTATCTCTAATTAAGGTTTGACTGTAATTCTCCAGGATTATTACAAGGTAAAATCTGATATCGCATTCTGTCAGCTAGTACAGTTGCACTTTGCTGCATTCTGTCATTCTAACTAGGTGTAATTCATCTGGATTTCTTTCACTTATACTCCTCTAAACCATACCATCAGCATGTACCAACTGCATTCAAAGGTTCAGAATTTCAAATTATTTACCAAGGCGAGGTTCATACACATACTTCACACGAATTTCAAAGCAGTTTTAGATCAAAACAAACTTGTCAATAGAAAATCAAATTGAGATTAAGTACAGCACACGTACCACAATTTAGTAAATGTCATGAATTTTCGGGTTTTGATTTTCTCTGTCTTTTAGATGAAGGAAGATCCCCGTCTTCTGTAACTTTGGTACTTGAAACTTTCTGCTTGAAAGAGAAACTGATCACTAAGCCACTGCTGCATTTTTACTGAACATGGGCAGATCAAGGTTGGACCATTTCAACATTAAACAACTGGCTAATATCTTGTTTGCAGTTGACTCATTGAGAAAGTTTATGGCCCGCACTCTTTGTGAAAACCGCTTGTTTTCCCAAGGGATTGTGGATACATATCTAGCCCACTTTCTGATATGCTGAATTAGATGTGAGGATTTTAAAAATACCTTTTGGAAGTATTATATTGAATGGCAACCCCAGCTGATTGCCTAAGACCCGCGACCACTTTTATCCATGAAGCCACTCATATGTCTGTGTATATCACATGCAATATGTGGCCACTTTCAGCCATGAAGTCACACAATATTTTCTAGTCACACAGTACCACTACAAACTGCTACCAAGTTTCAGATTTTCAACATAAAGTGCTTTTGGACTCAAAAGAAAATTGTATTCCTTTATTATTAACGGCACCTGATTAATGAAAATTTGGGCTTTTTTTTCTTCAAGGCTGTTTTAAAATCTGTAAAAGTTTTGAGTGAAAAAAAAGGCAATGGGACTGCGTACCCATATTTTCAATCAGATATACTGGATGTCTTGGCGCATCAACGCCTTGATTGATCTGTCATTTCACTGTTTTCTGTTTTCAAAATCCCCTGGGTTTTCAATACCTTTTTTAAATTCTGAGAGCATGACGTCCAGCGTGGTATCCTCAAATACAAAGTTGATGGGATGCTGGTAAAATTTGATGACCGTTTTTAAGGGCGTGCAATCATCCGGATCGACAAACGCAAGGTCCTTGACAAACAGCAAGGCCACTATGTTATCCCTGGTTCCCGAATACACCGGTATCCTGGTGAAACCTTTATTCATGATGTCCGTCACTGTGTTGAAGTCGAGCACAGCTTCCTCGTCTAGCATGTAGCAGTCGTCCAGCGGTGTCATGACGCATTTCACGGGGGTCTTCTTCAGCCCCAGTGCACCTGAGATGATATCGACTTCTTCCTTCTGAAGGTCTGTATACTCGTCTGTCACCTTGATCAACTCCAGCAAGCGTTCCCGGTCGTACACATTCCCAATCTCTTTACCCAGGATCCAGTCGAGGATCTTGCTGATCGGGTATGCCACAGGAAACGTTATGAGCATGAAGACATATGTCAGCCAGACTGTTCTGGCGCCCACAGCCAGCCCGTGGCGGGAGCAAATGGACTGGGGTACAATTTCCCCAAAGATGACGATCCCCGCCGTGGAGCCAATGACAGCCGTCAGGCCAGAGGAGAGATCGTCGATAAGGATCGTGAGGGTGCTGTTCACCAGCACATTGCCCAGGAGCAGGGTACACAGCAGGTAATTCCCGGTATGACGGAGCGGGGCTATCCGTTTGGCATACTGCTTCTCACGATGGTTCCCACAGTTCTGAAGGATTTTCAGCTCAGTTGGATCAAGGGCCATCAGACCCAGATTCAACCCACTGAACAGCCCAGACAAGACAAGCAGCAATATGATAAGAATAATCTGTAACCACAGCGGCAAGAGTGATGGAATGATATGAACCTGAAGCCAGCTGGCGGTGCCTAGATGTGTCATCTCTCTGCCCTCCGGCTTCACACACAAGTAGAGGGGTTTCAACGATGTAAAGTTCACATTTAACAGCCCTGTGGTGTTGCTGTCCATGTTGGCTGGATCTGGTTCTACTGTCGCAACATCAGGATGGTCCAATTCTCCACAAGGATCCTCCTTGTCCCCCTCCGTTGTGGTGAACCACACCACCATTCCAACCTTGATGTTTTCTCCAATGAGTCTAATGGAGACTTGCTCATCTTGTGGAACACGCAACTCCCCTGCTGCACCAACAACTATTCCCTCACTGTTTTTTGACAATGCCAGGATACGTGTCTGAGAGTGCTGACATGGCCGAGTCTCGTTACCAGCAATACCAGCAACCCCATCACCAGAGACACCAGCCCCCAGTGTGGCTGGCACTGTAGCCATCATTAGAATAAAAACAATCAAAGTAAGAAGTGTCCTCACTGTTAACATGGTAGTTCTAAAACGGTTCTGCACGAGTGGAGAGGCTACGTAAAAGAACCGTATAGTTCTTAACGACGAGCATACAACGCCTATGGAGGCCGCCATCTTGAGAAATGGATGTTCGTGTTCGCTTAACCGAACCAACCGCTGTCACCTGTACACCACCAAATAAATCTGAAAACCAGACATCATTGAGATAAATTAATCAATGAACAATTATTCTGTCTTAAATTTAACATATCGTGCCTGGTTTGATAGTTCTCTGGTGTTCTTTTCCCAGCTCAAAGTGAAAATTTCACTGCTGACGAGGCGTTCACAATTTGTGCGCTCATCCGGGTCGGGTACAATTTCATACTAACAATAGATGGCGCTCTTCTGGTAAGCCAGGGTTGCACTACACCAAATACGCGCCCATAGAAAAGAGTGCAAAATCGGACCGAAATAGCGCCGCCTGTTGACTCTCGTGAAGAGGTTGGCCTCCGTTTTTTTTTACTGGAAATTCAAGATTATGGCCAGAAGATCACTTTTCGTTTCAATTTCATGGGGGTTAGCCACGCATTTCAAGGAAGATATCCCCAAAACAGCAGTAAAACTGAGCGCTCATTTCTGAATGTAGCCGCCCGCCTCTATCCAAAATAGGCCCGCTAATTGCAGCTTTTTGTGAAAGAAATACCCGAAATGGAAATATCAGTCCCAAATTCGGGATTTAAAAAAATATTTCTATGATACCTCCTGATTATGACATGTCTAATTGTAAAAACCCCGTGGGATGACAAAATATTAATGAGCTCGCGCGCAGAAATACATCCATTTGGTGGAATGCACCCCCAGGGGAACAACAAAACTGGACAAATTCACCTGTCGGTATAGGAATTTACGGAGGAGGATTCCAGCCACGAAATTCTCTAGAATGAAGCTATTTTTCGATTGTAAAACAAAATCCTCTATTTACTTTTAATTTAATCTGGCCCATAGGGTTGCACTGCACCAAATTATGCGCCAATCAAAACGGTTCAAAATCGAACCGAAATAGTGCCGCCTGTTGACTCTTGGGAAGAGGTTGGCCTCCTGTTTTTTACTGGACATTCAAGATTATGGCCAGAAGTTCACTTCCCGTTTCAATTTTATCGGGATTAGCCACGCGATTTTCTCTTATCTTCTCATCTTCTCTCTCTTATTCGCCACTCGCCGAAGATACCCCCAAAAATAGAAGTAAAGTTATGTGCTCAGCTCTGAATGTAGCCGCCCGCCTCTACAGGCCCATAGGGTGACGTTGGGGATCACTCATTATTAATGAAGCGCCTTGGGTCATAGGGGCATAGCACTGCAATGGTTTTCATCGTACTTCAGGAAAAGAACTCAGTCTGTGAAAATTTGTGATTCAATATCTTCTCCTGCAGCTTTGAAATTTGGTCTACCCCAAGGATCAGTCCTCGGCCCACTTTTGTTCAGCATATATTAAGCCCAGTTGCAAACATTGCCTGCCAACATGGTCTTTAAATTCACCTCAATGCGGATGACACACAGTTGTACGTTCCATTTGATCCATCAGTTCCAGTCAGTGGACTCTCCGCAAAGCATCAGTTGGAGGCCTGCATCGCAGATATTAGTATGTAGATGTTTTCTGACAAGTTGAAGCTGAGTCACAGCAAATCAGTGATTTATTGCCTCTAAATCCGCACAGCAGGCTCTTATCCGGAACCAAATTGTTACCACTGGTTCAGATTGCATCGCTGCTGCATCCAGTGTTCGAAACCTTGGAGTAGTTTTTGATGAGAATTTCTCAATGGATGCCCGCATTCGGAAGAGCTGCCAGTCTGTTTATTTTAACATTCGTAATGTATACAGCTACGGAAAACACTTGATGACACATCTGCATACAAGCTCGTTCATGATTTAGTTCTTTCTCGGCTGGATATTTTGTAATACTGATCAACATTAAATCTTTAAAAAAAAATTCAATCAAGCTGGCAGCTCCAGCATGCTCTAAACGCAGCTGCCTGAGTCTTATCAAAGTCAAATAAATTTGACCACATCTCGCCAGTTCTGCAACATCTAAATTGGTTGTCTTTCCGGGAGCGGGTCGAATTCAAAATTCTCTTGTTAACTTAGAAAATTGTTCACCGATCGGGGCCGAGTTTTTAAGTGGCCTCATTACATGTACCCTATGCACCACAACGCAACTTACACTCACCACACAAGAATCTCCTTGAGATTCGGAGAACGCGGACTGCCTATTGGAAGTAAGGTTTTTCATCTGCTGCACCAGTGCTGTGGAACAACCTTCTAAATGATCTCAGAACACTGAACTCTCTTGAACCATTTAAATCTAACTTGAAAACTCTTATGTTCGAGCGTTCTTATCTTGGTAGTTCACAAATCTGTGGCCCCACGCATGAATCTGATATGCCACACAGACATGAAACTGAAAAAAAGCTGGTTAAAAATTTTGCTTCTTGGAATTTTCTGTTTGGTCAGAATAATACCGCCCTCTATGTTTCAAAAAATAGGCCCCTCCCCAGCTGTTGAGATTTTTAGCAAAGAATGATATGATATTACCTTACACATTCATGCATGCATCTAACTCAAAAAGTTTGAAAATATGGCATATCCGGTTCATGCACTGGGCCACAGAAATGGCATCAACCTGATTTCTAGCGCGTCGGATTAGATGGCGCTTTACAAAATGTTTGTTTATTATTATGAAAAGGCATGTAGGACAAGGGACATGGCTTTCACGTTCACTTTTTCACTACCCTTGTACAGGCGTCTAAAGCTAATTAAAAAGCTTATTTTAAAAAAAAATAAAAAATTAATAAGCAACTTTTAAGAGTACAAAGGTTGGCTATACGAACTCCGAAAAGCTTTATTACATTGCGCATGCTCTGTTTCCTCAACTAAGGAGTAGAATTTATAGCAACTCACTGAGCTCAGGGACAAACTTTATTGGCATTTTGACGTTATTTTTTGGAATTTTAGGGGCAATTTAAAGTTATGCTGCAAGAAACCATAAATCATAAATGGAATGATCACGTTCAAATGTATGAAATGCACATTGTTAAACAAAATTACATGTAATCTGAAAAATGAACACTTTCAATTGCAAACCCTTTCACATCATGAGGTTTGCTGTCCATACCCTCATCAAATCCACTCCCCCAATTTTAGCGTATGGGCATCCATGATTGTACAGTCTATTTGTAGTCCTGCGCACACGCTCCTCTGAAATGGTCCAGATATGGCTACCCGGGTACCTTCAAGTTCTGATACCAAGAGACACATATGCAGCGAGGTATGAGACGGAGAGAACCCCCCCCCTGCTTTGTGTTGGTCATTGTCTCGCAGGAATCTGGGGAATTCCTTTCAGACATCTTGGGGGATGTGTTAAGTAACAATAGTCTGGAATATGTATAGGGATTGGGCATGTTGGGGGGGGTACCCCTCGGTCTCATTTCTTGCCGGGTATAAGGAGTTCTGAGAACCTGGAAATGCGAGGCACGCAAATGAGGAAAACGTGGGGGGGGGCTAGAAATCCAGTGAGGAGATTTGCTGGTGTATGCCAGGCACGAAATGGGACAGAGGGACCCCCTCCTACAAGGCCAATCCCTATACACACTCCAGCCTATTGTTACTTAACACACCCCCCTAGATGTCTGAAAAGAATTCCTGAGATACCAGTATAACAACGACCATGGAGGAAGGAACACATGTTCCTTTCTCCATGCAACGACCAACACAAAGGCGGGGGGGTCTCTCTGCCCCATAGATTGCGTCATACGTGTGGGCGCGTCCCACTGATCTCTACACTGGACAGGCAGCTCAGCAGTAATTTCCTGTGTGTGAATTGAAGTGACCGCACGGTAGATATTCAATACTATTGGCCTCCAACTTCAGTCCATTCACTAAGTGCATTCACGCACGGCGCTAAAGCTGGTGACTTGGAAAATACCATTTTATTGAATCGCCTAAGATGGCCGCGCAGTCGCTTCAATTCGCAGAGCAAAGCTGCCTATCCAGTGTTCAGTGGTGCGCCCACACCGCCACCCTCTTCAACACCATGAACAGCGCCGCCAAGCGATTATGGTGATAATGGAGTTGTACCTTTCCGATTTCCACGACTGGGTGAATCTAGGATTTGGTTTCCCCCATCTCACTCCTAACAAACTCGCGGACACAGAATCACACCGGAAATGGCTCGTTTAACTGAAACCATGATTAACCTACAGATGGTAGAGTAATCAAACCTGTTTTTAAAAATAGAAGTTACTTTAGGGTACCAAAAATAGGACTCCCTTTCTAGCGACACCACACACTGAGCTCCCACTCAGGCATTTACATGTAAATGAAATTTTTGAAAAGCATTTCTTTGTCAGCAAAACAAATAAACCTCAATGAAGCTTAAAATTGCCAAATGCTGCATTACTAAAAAAAAGGAAAGAATGAAATTAGGTGGTACCGAATTTATGTCCTTAGGTTTCCCGGGGGCTTGAACGTTTTAGGGTCATTGTCACCTTCCTGCAGTGAGCCTACACCTACCAAGCCAGGGAGCCACGTGCGTCAGAGGTGACCCTTGTTTCCTGTAGATTTGAAATGAGATCACAGAAGCTGTTCATCCGACAATAAGCCCCCCGTTGCCACACACTAATTGCCACTGCAGTCAGTTTGATGTAAACAATTCGAAAAACCATCAGTGTTGCAGAAAAAAAACAGATTAATCAGCAGGGTGCGGGGTATGCAATTTTTATTATGTGATCGTGACAGTGTGATGAGGTTTTTGGATGGAGTTGAGAGTCAGCGGCGTGTAAAATTCTGCCTTTCACTGTTTTTATGTTACGGAAAAACTGCTAGCTCAATGCTTTACGCGAGCTCTGGGCCTTACCCAAGCGACTCATGAGACCAAACGATTTAAGATCGCAGTGCTCGAGTCCATTTTATTTACAGTACACTCTTAATTAACTGAGATTTCGCTAGACTATTTTGGTGGCGACAGCAGCTGTAACCTCGCTTAAAACAAAAACAAAATCACACACATTTATCGAAAGCTCAAAAATTATTCCTCAAAGAGCAACTACGGTAATCGATATTTCGAAATTTTTTAACACTGTAATTTTTTTTCTGGTCTGAAATACTGCGCAAGAATTCTCTCCCCCTTTAAATATTCGGCGTAGCAGACTCGTGACTAATGGTTCTGGTGACGAAACTAAAAGGAATAAGCCTTTTGCGAGTTAAATTTAAATAAAATCTGGTACACTGAATTACCTGATTACACCATCGACGAAGGAAACAGAAGGAGTTACAGCCCTGGCACTTCAAGTTGTTCGATAAGCATCGCCGCC